ATGCATCTTCCTGAGACAAAAAAAAAGAGTAATGTTATTCATCCCCAGTGGGGATGAAAATACAGTTTAGGTGGTTTTAAATGATAGGTTAAATAAAAGGTGAAATTAAATGACTTATTTAATTTCTAGAGATAGTGAGCTGAAAAGTTTCGTGGATGTTGAATGAAAAATTGCAGTTGCTGAAGATGTTAGTAAACAGATGCACATTGTGTGATAAAGTTATAAAGATCGGGATTAATAGACATAAAGTGTATATAGTGAAATTACTAAGTAATTGTAGTATTTATGATTTAAAATAATTGAAAATTCGAAGAATATATATAAATTTCAAGAAATTGTAATATTTATGATTTTAAGCAATATATATATTTTTTTAATTGAAGAATATGTATAAAGTTCAAAGAATGTACTATTTTATTCATTAATTAATTTAGAATATTTAAAATAATATCAAAAATTGAAAAACGCATAATTATGTGTACGTTTTGTATATGTACGTATATACTTGTAAGTTGTAATGCTTGATACTTGATCGGAAGGTACTACCATGCATTACCTTTTTTAAAAGCTTGGCTAAAATCTTTTTTTTTTTTTTTGTAGATTTTAATAAAAAGTGAATAAATTTATTGTTAAAAATTGTGAGTCTCATAAGATATGCGGTTAAAAATAAATTTGGGTAAGATCAATAATTTTTTTAGCATTTTTTCCTCCAAAGATAACGTTTTGACATTTAGTAATTCTTACCATTAGTCAATAAATTTGTATGTAATTAACTTGTCACTTGAGATGGAATGTTTGGAGGTTGTTGAAGTTTTGATATTCTTGTGCACGATTACACTGCCTTTGCCAGGGATGGGTTCATGTTTTGTTTTTCTTCCTAGATTCCAGTCAGGTTTCACATATATTTACAGCATGTCTGCCATAGATTTTCATCTCAATTTCCATTGATTTTTGGTCCATTAGTTGGCAGTACTGCCTACCATTTTTTACTCTTCCTCTTTAAGTTGGCCCCCACTTATTGACTGTAAAGGTCACATTATTGATCAAAATTGGATGAAAATCTTTTGCAGACAAGCCCTTAAGTTGGAAATTACCTACTGAAGCTTAAAGCCAAAACGATTGACCCAACCACCACAGAGTTAATACCCTAGATAGTCATCGAACTTTGTCAAAAGTTTCCAGTAGTTCATCGAATTTCAAGATTTCCCTAATTAGTCACTAAACTTTGCAAAAAGTTCTTAAAAGATCACTGAACTCCTGAAAACTTTTAGCAAAGTTTATTGACTGTTTAGGGTATTAACCCACCATCACATTGACAACATACATCCTATATTTCTTCACAGATTAATGTTATCTGAAGTCAAATATGCCCACAAGTCATTGTTCTATGCTCTTTTACATTTCGATCGTGCGATTACTATTTGCTTTTAACTCTTTCATGTCACAAGATTTTCACTTAAAATAAAAATGTGCAGTGTCTAGTTGTAGACCTCGATTTGTCGACAAGCTGGCCCAATCATTAGTATAGTGAAAAAGAAAATTGAGGATGTTTTAAAATTATGTTATTAGATGACTTCTTTAAAGAGTGTTAAAAAAGTGACTTATTTTTCATTTTCACTGTAATTTGAATCTAATAACAAATAGCTTTAAAAAAAAATGAAGAAGAAGTAGAAGATAACAAATTCAACAGTTGAATTTTCACACAAATTATCTAACATGCTTCCATCTTAGGTTGGGGCATTAAAATTTTAATATATTTTTCTATTTCTTTTTTTTAATCACATATTTTTCAATAAAATTATATTACACGTAAATTCAAATTTTTTTTCTTTTTAACTACACCTTCTCCAAAAAACAACTATTCCAAAAAATACTTTTCTTAAAATCTCATTAAAATAGAGCCCAAACAAGAGCTAGCCCCTGTTTGGCCTGCATTACTTGGGAAAAAATGAAGAATTTTACCTTTTTTGAAATTATTGGGCCCCACTATCTCAGATGCTGGTCAAATATTTCGACGGCCCCACTGTTCAGCGGCAATAATTTTTCTAGAAATGGGCAAATAATGCAGGCCAAACAGGGGCCTAGTGTTTGTTTGAGAAAAAAAATATATTTGAGATTATAACGAGGATGTGATGAGTGATAAATTCCACTGAATACATGAATATTAATTGTGAAATTGTACTCGAAATTAATATTGGATTACACTGAAACCCAAACAAAGCTTAAGTGGTGAATAATTCTACTATTCGTTGGTATAAAAAAATAATGTGAACTGCAAGATTTAACAAAATAATTTGTAGTAGAAATCTTCCCGGGAAAAGGATATGGCGGGAAATCTCACACACTTCCTTACCCATATATAAACAACCCGCCACACAAACCCTTCTATCGAATCCATTCTCCTCCAAATATAAAAAAATAAAAAAATAAATTCCCATTAGGGTTTTCCATTTCCCGATTGTTCTGAAAACCCCAAATCATGCCTACAGAATTGTGTTAGATACACACCAGTAGAACCTCTAAACTTCATTTTCCATTCATTATTAGGGTTTTTCTTCCTTCTGTATTGACACGAGTAAATGGGAAACAAAGGCACGGACGAAGTCATTTCAACCGTCAGATCGATCGTCGGCCTGGAATTTTCCGACATGGACATCATCCGAGCCCTCCACATGGCTAATAACGACCCTACAGCTGCAATTAACATTATTTTTGATAGTCCGAAGCTGTTCAAGAAACCTGAATTCCTTAAAAAAACTGGGCTCTCTAACGGCAATTTGAATCCCAAGCCCCCACTTGTTGAGTCGAATTTAGAATTCAATGCTAAAAGGGTGGGGAATTCTGATTCGGGTTTGAACTCAAATGGGAACCTGGCCCTTAGGAGTGGAAGAATTGAGGGTGAGGGTAATGGTAATAGTAATAGTGCGTTGGGGAAAGAAATGGGGAGGGAGTGGTGGTTTGTGGGAACTGCTGAAGTGGCGGGGCTGTCAACATGTAAAGGAAGGAGCTTGAATCCGGGCGATGAGGTGAATTTCACATTCCCGGTTGAGAGGAAGTTGACGACACCCTCCCCTGGGAAGTTTGGGGGTGGGGGTGGCCGTGGCCGGCAGGCAGCAGCTTGCTCGGAAATTGTACGATTTTCAACAAAAGCTCATGGCGAGGTAATGTACGAGGTCCTCTATTTAATTGCATTCAAGAAACTATGAATTATAACTAGTTATTTATTTGCTACACTAGGTAGATGTTTCCATGTTTAAAGGAAATAGAAAGCAGAAGTGAAAATGAAAAATAATAAGATACTTAGTTAAGTATGATGTAGCATATAATGCTAGTCATTCAAAAGGTAAACAGAATCTGAACTGCTATAATTTCTTATAAAGTACATGGATTGAATTGGTTTTGCATTGTAACAAAATGTGGAAGACATGTTGGGCAGATTGGCCGCATTCCAAATGAATGGGCTAGGTGTCTTTTGCCTCTAGTGAGGGAAAAGAAGGTTCGACTTCAGGGGTGTTGTAAATCTGCTCCTGCTGTGCTGGGAATCATGGATACTATTATTTTGAACATGAGGTATACATTTTGTAGTTTTAATTTTTATGTTCCTATAACTAGCAACTGTCATGTTAACATCCTACTAATGGAAAAAAATATGAGTATGTATGGAATGTTGTGTGGGCCTGGGGGATTGAAAGAGGTGAATTTGTATTGTTTTTGTGTTATGTGCAGTGTGTACATCAACAGTTCCATGTTGCGAAAAATCAATCAAACTTCACTGAAGTCAACCAGTACCTCCGCAGATGAATCTGTTCTTCACCCTCTGCCATCTTTGTTCAGGCTGCTAGGTCTTGTTCCTTTCAAAAAGGTGATTATTATATGTTAGATTCAATTATAAAGGTTTAATTCAGAATATATGGTAACCTATATAATGAAGCTGGCCAACTTGTCATAGGCCCATCTTTGCTGACACTTACCTGTAGCAATTTAATTCTCTCTATCATTCCAGGCACAATTCACTCCAGGAGATTTGTACACAAGGAAGAGGCCTTTGAACCTAGAGGTAAATTTAGTGAATCCATTGGTTGATAAAAAATATAGAAATGGATATTAATTCTTCAATTCGCTCGGACAGGAAACCTCCTTCCTGCATATCAATAAATTCAAGAATCCATCTTCTACAAATGGAAATGAAGTGGAAAACGAGGAACCAATTTCTGATAATGATCTTGACAGTATTGTTGGTGTTTCTGATAGCTCACACTTAGAGGTAAAGGCCATTTCAAGATTTCTTAATGTGGTATTTGCTTTAGGTGTTGCATGAATTGATTTTGATCATTTAGGAAATGGAGCCTCCTAGTACCCTGCAGTGTGAACTTCGTCCTTACCAGAAGCAGGCTCTTCATTGGATGTTTCAGCTGGAGAAGGGCCGCAACATTGATGATGCTGCTGCTACAACTTTGCATCCATGTTGGGATGCATACCGCCTTGCAGATATGTATGTGATGCTTTATTACTATGTTAAGTATTCAGATACTAGAGTACTTTTTTTTGCCATATATAAGAAGCTGTACTCATTTGTAGGAGGGATTTGGTGATATACTTAAATGCATTTTCGGGTGATGCTGCTACAGAATTTCCAAGCACTCTTCAAATTGCTAGAGGAGGAGTATGTTGCTAGTATTGATTTGTCATCTGTTGCCTGCGTTTTGTATTTTTAGTTTTCCTAATCTGACTGTAGGATAAACTTGGAAGATTTTGGCAGATTCTATGGGGCTTGGGAAGACTATCATGACTATATCTCTTCTTCTCTCTCATTCTGGAAGAGGTGGATTGTCTAGCAAGACTTCCAATGAAAACAGTGAATCAGGCGATATGTTGGATGATTCTCCAACATCTTCAAAGAAAGCAACAAAGTTTTCTGGTTTTGACAAGGTTCAAAAGCAACAGAACTCGCTTGCTGGTGGTGGCAATTTGATTATCTGTCCTATGACACTTATAGGCCAGTGGAAGGTATAGTTAGCATGTTTTGGTAGTTAGTGTTTGATGGTTTCTATTGAAAGTGCACATAGCGATTCAGCCTACTAAAGGAAATCCTTTAAGCTGAAGTTTGCATTGTAGACAGAAATTGAAACGCATGCTCGACCTGGGGCATTGTCTATCTATGTTCATTATGGTCAAAGTAGATCAAAGGATGCAAAAGTTCTAGCTCAAAGTGATGTTGTTCTAACTACATATGGAGTGTTAGCCTCTGAGTTTTCAACAGAGGTACTCATTGTTTTCTATTTAATCATAGTTAAATTGGCTTTAGTAGCCATCCTCGTCTTTTTTTGTCCAGTGCACTAGGCATGTGTGTTGCCTTTGGTGTTTGATCTGTTATATTAGTATTCTGCTTTTGCTTCATTCGGTTACTCATAAAGTAATCTGATATATCTTTTCTTCATTCTCCATGTTCCTGGTGTAGAATGGGGAGGAAAATGGAGGACTCTATTCAGTGAGATGGTTTAGAGTGGTTCTTGATGAGGCACATACTATAAAATCTACCAAAAGCCAAATTTCCATGGCTGCAGCTGGTCTTATTGCCGATCGTCGATGGTGCCTTACTGGTACACCTATACAGGTGCATTACCATAGTCGCACTTCTTTTTCATAATTTTTAGTGCTCTACTCAGTAGTTATTTTTATTATTTTCTCGTCCTTTTTCCCTTGAACGTAATATAACCAATGAGTTTGATCTTTCTGTTTGATGATTCTAGGGGGTCTTACTTAGATTAGTACTCTATAGGTTTTAGTTGATACGGTCTTTTAACATAAATGATACTGCCTCTTTCACGACTTAGTATCTGGGTATTGGCAGAAACTTCAGACGGGAGCTTAAAAAGTGGCTATTTGATGTAACTCTTTGATGTTACACTAAAGATCAACGGCCAAGAATCCTTGGTAATCCAGCACATTATATGAGAATGTTCTTTGTCATTAAGATTCAACAACATTATCCCCATGAAGAAATCCCCCACCCCAGAAATAGGAAAAATATTATCTCTATCATGTACTTTAGGAAAGGACGTTTTTGGAAAGATTTCAGAAGTCATTATTGGTGTCATCCCAAAGAGGAAATAAATTCATTAACCATCATCTGAGAGATTTTTTTTAACATATTTTGTTCGATATTGCTATTAGTTTGGGTCATATTCTTAGAGTTAATGTAGTCAACTCTTGTTATTGTGGATATGGCCCTTGTATTTGTTGAGCATGTTGTGAACTCTTTGGCTAATATGTTTTTGCCTGGCTTTCTTGTAGATTATTTCTAACTTTTTCTTCATCTAGTTCTTAGTATTGTTTCTCACAGTGCAATTTCCTTTTAATAGAACAACCTGGAGGATGTTTACAGTCTTCTTCGATTTTTGAGGATTGAACCATGGGGAAGTTGGGCATGGTAAGATTTCAGTCCAATTCTTAGTGCATATTTTTTGACCTCAAGGAAGTACTTTTTATGTGAGCTTACTGTGGATAGAACAATAAGAGTTGATATTTCCAATAAACGGTCAATCTTCATTGTGTTTTCTGTTGAAATGTTTGCAGACATTCCTTTTATATTTTCCATCACTCCTTTTACATTTTGAACATCCTTATTTACTAGTTTTTGGCAAATTGGTATATAACAGAATATAGCCGCTGTTTGGCCCCTATTTCTTAAAATTCATTTTTCCCAAACTCATGTCGTCAACTTTTATCATAATCTAGTAAAAATCTGATTTTTATCCAAATCAAACAGGGGCATAAGGTGTTTTGTGAAGATATAAATATAATAAATAAATTTCCTTCATCGCAAACAATTCAAGGTTGTAGATGAGGTGGATCAAAGTGGTATAGGACCACCCATTTATAAATTCCACTTGTCTAGCTTTTTATAAAAAAGGTGATGCATGCACATGAGGGGGGATTGTTTAAGATATAAATATAAATAACTATATTTCTTCCTTCATGAATAAGCTTAAACTTTTAATGTGGTGGCTCAATTATATGGAGTAGATATTTCTGCTTTAATTATTTCATTCATAGTAAAATAAGACTCCTGTGTCAAAGTTTTAACATACTGGCAATAAGATTAGCCCATCTCTTGAATTTGTATTTGTTCTCCAACTGGTGTCTAATTGAATTTCAACCTATTTTTTTGAAAAGTTTATTACGGAGCAAGGTTTAACTGCTGCTGCTTATTGTATACAATGCGGAGACAACACAATTATTTTGGAGAATAACACTATTTGTGGAGCATATGCTTTCAGAAAATCCTATTTCCAATTGAATTACCGAGCATGACAATTTCTTAGCTCTACGATTAGGAAGTACGGCACCTTCCCTTCTCTTCTCTTGGTTGAGCAAAGTCTGGTTTTACTTCAACCATAGTGGACAGTGCCGATTTAGTCAAAAGGCATTCATAAGCTATATCTTCCTACAGCATATTTGAACTCTTGACTTTCATTTTTACCCCGATTAAGGTGATTGCATGGTTGGTTACGCATAGGAGGTTAATACTGTGATTTCGTTGAAATGAAATGTCCTCATTTATCTCCTCCTTGGTCTGTGACGTGTTGGAGGATAATATAAGTATTATTGACCACTTGTTCTAACACATATTGCAATATTTTTGTGGTACAGCTTATTAAGTGAAGCAGGTTTTGAATGTTTTTAAAAAGGTGCAGTGGGATATAATTGAAAACCCAATTGGTTTTTGTCTAGTGAAAGTTGGCGATGTGTTTTTGGAAATTCTTGGGTTGTTTGGACCTGAAGGAATTTCTAAATCTTTTGAAGCAACAGTACTGCTTGGCATATTATGGAAGAAGCAGTAGCTTCTTTTTGGTCCTTGACATCAAATCAGTTAATGGAATTCCTTTTTATCTTATATCGGTGGGAAGAATTTGATATAGTCTTGATTCTGACTTTTTTCTTATATTTTAAGAGCACTCCCTGTTCTCTTGATGTATGTATTTTATTATTGTGATTAATAAAAGTATGTTCTAATAACAGCAATACTTTTCATTTAATTATGATGCGCTAAGTAAGCTGGTCTTGTCTTCGATACTGTCATTCAATTCAGTTTCTTCTTCCAAATTTTAGTTGCATTAAACTTGTTTATATCAAATGGATGATATGCTTTTCCCATTACCTTTTTCCTCTGCTTTGCTGCATCATTTTCTTCCATTGTGGTTGTTCATCACCTTCTTTTCTTTTCTTTTTTTTTTTGTGCTTGGATATTAAGTACTTCGTAAATGGACAGGCTCACACTTGAGTAATTATTTCTTAGTTTCTGTTCTCGTACTTTTTGCGCAGTGTCCCTAGGGGCAATTTTTATTTATTCTACTATATGCTAATTAGTAATCTGTAATGTGAATAATATTTTAGGTGGAATAAACTTGTTCAGAAACCTTTTGAGGAGGGTGACGAGAGGGGTTTAAAGCTTGTCCAGTCAATCTTAAAGCCAATCATGTTAAGACGAACAAAGTGTAGCACAGATCGAGAAGGCAGGTGGGAATAATAAGCTCACAACATATCTGGTTCTTTTTGGCATTATCTGCATGTTACTTGTGGTGTTATTACTATTGTCTTTACTTTCAACTTTGTTGAGCTGCAGGCCAATTTTAGTTCTTCCACCTGCGGATATTCAAGTGATATATTGTGATCTTACAGATTCGGAGAAGGACTTCTACGCGGCCTTGTTTAATAGGTCAAAGGTGGGCCTTGTTTAGAGATAAATGGTATCCAATCTTAATAAATTCTGTTGGTACTTGTGTCATTTGTAGTGGAATTTCAATAATGTGTTGATTTCCAAATCTTCAGGTAAAATTTAATCAATTTGTTGAGCAAGGCCGGGTTCTTCATAACTATGCCTCTATTTTGGAACTTCTCTTACGTCTTCGTCAATGCTGCGATCACCCATTTCTTGTTATGAGGTTGGGATATCTCTGTCAAGCTCTGTTCTCCAGCAATATCTATCTATTAATCCATATATTTATGTTTAACTAGCATTTTACCTATCCATGCATGTAAATGTATTATTAGTTAATTTATGCAAAATTTTGTTTATTGAAATACCGTGCCTAAGATGGAAACAATTTTCTCTTCTGAGGGTTGTATTCATCACCCTAGAATGGAATGGACTGGTATTGAACTTATCATATCTCAAATTGATGGTAGAGTCTGTTTGGTACGCAACTTTGTTTCTTCAAATAAAGTACATTCTATGGTGGCACAGTGAATCTTAGCAAAAGATAAATCTTTTTCCCATTTCTTGGACCATGGTTTAAAGATTTCTATCGAACACTGGAAAACTATTCTGTATAATAAATGTGTTGTGTTAATCTCAGAAAATGGTAGTCTGGAAATATTTGGACTCAGAGAGAGATTAACCTTGTCAGAACTTCACCAATCTTGTTTTTGCAATATAAAGCATCTAATCAGTTACTTTCTGGATGTTGTCCTTTTACATTGGATTATAATCTAGATTTTGAGTAACTAGTTGAATTATATTTATGCACGAGTGCTGGCGCACCTATATATGAACATCAGGTTGCAAGTATACATCGCTTTTAAATTAGGATTTGTCAGTGATGTGCTTTTTGTGCTTCTTCTTGTGTCCAGTCGAGGTGATACTCAAGAGTTCTCTGATCTCAATAAACTTGCAAGACGTTTTCTCAAGGGCGGTCTGGTCAGCAAGGATGGCCAGGCGAAGGACACACTGTCACGTGCATATGTTCAGGAAGTTGTGGATGAGTTGCGGAAAGGGGAGGGAGAGTGCCCTATTTGCCTAGAAGCTTTTGAAGATGCAGTATTAACTCCTTGTGCTCATCGATTATGCAGAGAGTGCCTATTGGCAAGTTGGAAAAGTCCTACTTCGGGTCTTTGTCCTGTTTGTAGGTATTAACAAGTTTTCTTGTGTTCTCAACAATTAGCATTGCACATTTTCCCAGCTGATAAATAAAAAACTGCAAAACTGAAGAGAAGATATCAATATGGATAAGCAACAGATAAGATAATCAGAAGTTGCAATTCACTAGCGATGACATTTTACTAGATGCACTGATGCCTTACGTTTCTTGTTTCAGAAAAACCATTAGCAAGCAGGAGCTCATAACGGCACCAACTGAAAGTCGCTTTCAGATTGATGTGGAGAAAAGTTGGGTGGAATCATCAAAAGTTTCTGCTCTTTTGTGTGAACTAAAAAATCTCCAAACCATGAGCTCCAAAAGCATTGTTTTCAGTCAATGGACTGCATTTTTGGATCTATTGCAGATTCCTCTTTCTCGGTATAATCTTTTTTCTTCTTCGTTTTGGAACTTCTACTTTTCATATTTTGGGACAATGGGTTGCGAAGGGTGATGCATTTTCTATAGCTCAGAAATTATAGCTATGGCGACTCTTTGGTACATTTAAGGGGGAAGATATTCTGGGCTTGGGGTCAGTGATACATTTAAACCTGAATTGTATAATGCTTTTTCCAAATCAAAATGGCGTCTCTCTCTTTCCTCTTTTTTGGTCTTTTGAGAGGAGATGGTGTAATGAATTCTTGATGTATATTGACAATGCATTTGATAATTTCCATTTAACAGATCTCGTAACTAGCTCTGTCAGTGTCTATATCTAAGAAGCATGCTTACACCGCACAGCCTTGTGCTTTGTCATTTTTACCCTGGTTAGATAACTACTGGAGTAATTTTTTGTCTATTCATTTGTTTCCAGGAGCAACATTCCTTTCCTCCGTCTTGATGGGACTCTAAACCAACAACAGCGTGAGAAAGTAATAAAGCAATTCTCAGAAGAGGATAACATCATGGTTTGTCTTTGTAGTCTTTTAGTTCTAAAGAAAAGATGAGGAAAGAAGATAACTACAGAGGCTTGATTTTCTTACAAGTTCTCCTTGTTATATAGGTGTTGCTCATGTCACTAAAGGCTGGTGGGGTTGGAATAAATCTAACTGCAGCATCTAATGCTTTTGTTATGGTAAGGCACTTCATGTTTTAAGAATCCCATGCATGATCTATGTTCCTTTTTACTATGGACAATATATGATGGTTCAGGGATTTGTCTTGTATGCTATTTACAAGATTCTTTTGGTTTTATTTGAGTGATGATTTGCATTCAAGATTGAAATTTGGTGGAAAGTGTGCGACTTTTCTGGTCTAGGTTGCAGCGACGTTGTCATTCTGTTTCATATATCTATGAACCAGAATCCTACCTTATCAGTTTCATATGGAATTCGTTTATCATAATTTGATATTTTGATCAATTACATCTGTGTTCGTGTTTCATCCTCACTGCCCCAATCCCTGTACTATAGTGTACCGAAAAAAGTGAGTAATCTAAACCCTGTTCTTCCAGCTCCTTTTAAGTTAGGTTGGGTCTGTGATTTTTTATACCCGTGTTCTTAACCAATGTGATCTTCAAGTTAATCTTATAAATTTGCCAACAATCCTTCCCTTGGATCTAGCAGAGAACAAAACGGAAGAAAGGGGGGAAGGAACAGGGGCCATCTTGCTTCTCTTATGCTTACACTCATTTGTTCTTGATTTAGGGATGTAATTCTATCATTAATTACCCTGTTTGATTTTGTAGTGATATTTTCCTGTTTTATCATATATTAGGTGGTCAGACTCTTCTAATTCTATATTCTATATGTTCTCTCCATTGATACAGTTGGAAAATCATTTACAAACTAGGAATTCTTGCAAAACTTTCACTAGTTGATGTGGGAGCATTTGTTGAATTTTTGTGGAATAGCACCTGCAAAAATTGACGCTGTGGATTAATGACTCGTTAATTTTTTTTTTTACAAGTTTTCAATGTGCAACTATTACTGATTTTGCTGCTTGCTCATTGGTTAATACCTGAGATATTCTATCTTTGTAGGATCCGTGGTGGAATCCAGCAGTAGAGGAACAAGCAGTTATGCGTATTCATCGTATTGGACAAACTAAGAGAGTGATGATCAAACGGTTTATTGTGAAGGTATGCTTATTTTATGTTTCCGAGCTTGAACTGCTTCCATGCTTATTCAGTCTCTCATCTTTTTATGGTCGCAACAGATGTTCATCTGAATTTCCTTATATTGCAGGGCACAGTTGAAGAAAGAATGGAAGCAGTTCAAGCTAGGAAGCAGCGGATGATAGCCGGGGCCTTAACTGACCAAGAAGTTCGAACTGCACGCATAGAAGAACTTAAAATGCTCTTTACTTAGACCAGACAGACAATGTACTCGTTCTAACTTATGTTATCAAATCCCGATGATTCGTCTTACTTTTTTCTAGGATCATTTCACAGTACATGTATTAGTCTGCAGAATTAATCGGAAAGCATTTTGGAGAGCTGCTTGATATGGGATTCTTCTGATAAGTTATCTATTGCCGAGGGAGTGAGTTCTCTTCGTAGTTGACTCGTTTTAAGTTGCCTTTGGCGAGAAACTGAAGATTCGGTGGTAGGTGGATAGAAGAATACTTAGTTTTGTTGAAGTTGCTTATTTCTGGTTAACTTACCTGTACTGTATATATTTTAAACGACAGAAATATAATGATAAATTTAGAGTTTCTTTTTCAAGTTTTCAACTATATATCAATGTGGATTGTGAGTTTTACTTTAATTGTCCGAATAATAACAAACGTTAATTTCAAATAATGAAAATAACACAATGAATCTTACCAAAATTTTAACCAGTTACATAATGTTTATCTTAAAAAATAAAAATAAAAATTTACAACACATAAATATTCAAGTAACCAAAGGAAGAATTCTCAAATAATTTGCATTCATATAGTATCTAAGATTCTATAACACTATTTACATTATTCATGAACATGCTGGAATAGGTGTGTTGTAGTTGTAGTGAGATGTTTTACTTTTACTTTTATTAGCAACCTCTTACTTTATTATCGAGTTAAGTCATGTTTCGTTCAGTTAAAAAAATTTAAATCAAAGTAATCACACATTTTATGAGTTTCATAACTTTCCAATCATGTATTTCATCAACTTTTATTAAAATTTACTAAACTCCTGTTTGTTTCACATTGTTTTAATTTGAAAATGAATTTTTTTTATCCTTTTTGTCAAAAAAGTGGCACTCTAAGAGAGAAAGTGGTCAAACATTGCGACTCACCAACTGTAGCAACGTTAAAAATTCTGGTTAAAATTGAAAACAAACGGGGGCTAAAAAATTAATTTGTATCTAAACCACACTGGTGCTAAATCTCTAAACGCTTCCTCTTCGGTCTTCTAATCCATAGACAACAAATTTTCCTTAGTCCTAAAACATTTTTTATTAAACCGCTTTTTATTCAAACTTTCCTTGGGACCACTAAAATATTATCCACCTTTGGCTCATTTACCTTCATTTACACTTGCATATAAACACTTCAGCAACATAGAGTCAATTTGACAAGGGAAGGAGGGAGTTGGATGAGTCTAGAGAAGGAAGAAGCCGCCGCCCCACGGCGGCGATTATCGTGCACCAAACACTTCGACGCCCTCTGGTTTTGCTATTGTACGCCGCATCTCCCCCCTTCTTCTTTCTAGTTTTCATTATTACTTATTAAATCGCATATAATTCTTAGTTTTACTATGCGACCGTAATTTTAATGGATTCTTTTGATCAAATAAATTTACTTTGCTTGTATCTGTTGGAGGATTTATTCATGATATGGTTTGATTAATTCGACATTGTGGGTCCAATTCAAAGTTTAGAGCTTTTTCTTCATACGAACGCATTAGAAAAATTAAGTTTTTCTTGGCTGTTCGGATTTACTTATGATATCTGTTATCCATTTTATAATCGTCGAATTTATGGACTATCATGTTTTGGCAGCCCCAGTCCATCAGATGCAGCAATACTATCGGCTTGGTGATCTTGACAATTGTTCTGGAAAGTGGACCGCTCTTGTTGATTGTTTGAGTCTCAAAACGAAAAGATCTTCCGAAGTAGAGGTGTCTCGAACTTTCAGCCAGAACTTTTCTTTATTTTTGGATACTTGATGCATTACCTTAGCATGAGAAATCTAGGGTTCACAAATTATTATAAAGGATAAAATTGCAGCTTTTATCAATAAACTCTGACATGTGTCTAAATGGTAATCTCTACTATAGGCGGGTAATTAGGGTTTAAACTATAGCATTATCCAGTGGAAAAGTGTCAAGTATGGATGGTGGATGCCTTGCCTTTAGGGCAATGCTTATTTATAGAGAAAGAATGTGGGAGGGAAAGAAATGATCTACACTACATGTGCCTGAGTAATGATAAGTTCGATTAATTGAAATGGAATGTAAATTTGATTGGATTTATCTATTATAAAATGTGCAGGCCCCAAAAGTCATATGGTGTTCTGTTTGATTGCATCTGATATTCATGCTATCGGATAGACCTAAAATGTCTGTAACTATTATCTTTACTCTGCTCTCTGATCTTTCTTCTTGTTTTGTAAGTGAAGTCTTCCTCAGTAATGTTCAGGATAGCCAATCTTTTATTCTCAATATAAAGGCATTTTGTTGATGCAACAACGTATATTTCCATACAAAGCCCCCAACAGAAATAAGTGATTGGAACTGTTATTGCTTGATTCAGTAATATCCTGGGAGAATGTTCTAGAATAATAGACACAATATATAAATCCAAGAGACCTGTTATTATATTACCTTTGCAATGTAGCGTAGCACTTCACGAGATACCAAATTTTTTTTAATGCAACTTCTGCATATGAAAGTGTATCACAGAGATGGACTTTATGTCTTTATCATATGAATCTTTCAAGATGTAAAAGGTGTGACATGTAGGATATTCTAAAACTGATCTGTCTAGACTACATCTGTGCTGTTTACTATGACATGGGCAATACAGGTTGATTTATAGTCTACTGTAGTGAACAAAATCAGATTTTGCAGCAATATGCAACCCCCCCCAAACATTCAGTTAACATCATATTCATAGGTAAATTTTCTGGGAAATGCAGCTTTTTTTCTCCCCACAATATTGTAATGTGTTTATTGGAGTTCTTTTTTTTACTTTAATATATTCATTGTCCCTTCGTCTTTTTATATGTTTTTCTCATGTTACAAGTGCTTGTTTAGTTGCAACCAGTTACAAGATTAAATTGAGGAATAGTTGCCAGTATCTTCAATCCACTTCTTTTTACTCCCTATTAAGTATCAAACATGGCTTTTGATGCTGGTACTTGAATGTAATTGTTGTTACACAGCACAGCAAAATCACTTCAACTTTGTTTAGAACTTCGTCAATTAAATGTCTGCATTTTTTAAAGTCTCTCTTCATTTATCACCACAACCTTCAGCATCACATTTTCCTCATCTTTTTTGAGCTTTTGCAGCGACCTTTTACTTCTCGCTAGGCTTAGGATGAGTAAGGGTTTCCATGCCAAAGTTGAAGACTTGTACGTATAGGCGTACCTTTTTCTTATTGCTATGAATTGGAATAACAATTAAATCTTCCGATTGCAGGAAATTATTGAGAGTCGGGAGAAAGCCAAGCCTCATATATGGTCTTTTCGGTCCCCAGAAGAAGCAGCATCTCATTGGAACGAGCTCTTTGGAAAATTAGATGAGCAGGAATGAGAACTTTTGAAGCAAGATATTGGTCATCGAACCTCCCCATGATCATTCCATTTGCATTTTACTTTTATAGCAAGGAATTAATGATTTTTTACTCGATGTAGAAGAAAAAGTATGGTTTTTGAAGCAAGAAACAGGGGAAACAGACACGGTTGCTACATTTTTGCACTAGATAACTTTCATCACATGGATAGTGGATTTTTTCTCATTCAATTCTTTGGTTCATCTCTTCAACATAATCTATGAAACATGAAAAGAAAATTTAGTAACATAGTACATACTATCTTTTTGTGTTTTTTAATACATACTTCCTTTTTGTGTTTTTATTTTCCTATGATGTAAAACGGTCGCGATCCAAGTTGTACTCTTATAAAGGTTAGCATTGTTAAAAGGATAACATAGAATATAGTGAATCACGAAGCTACCACATTACCAAGGCTTGATAATTTCTGTAGTGCACGACTTGAAATGGCGACATTGGTAGTCCAAGTTGTTTAACTTGAATTCAAATTTTTTTTTTTTCGTGAGTAAATATTATTTATCATTAGTAGAGCTCATCACCGTTTTAGGTGGTAGTGTCTACTTTGATTTTTGTCGAAATGAACAAAATAGAAGAAAATGTTATATAAACAATAATTCTTCAAATATTTTATTAGTATAGTAGGAAGTAATTATGGCACACTCATTGCATGTGCAGTTTGTGTGCAAAAATTTGTATATCTGGCTGAGAATGAGAATGTAAATTTTAATGTGGCTCAAATAGGGGGTTCAATATTATTTTATTTATAAAACTACTGTAATTAAGAATAGGTCGGACTAATAAAATACAATACTGACAATGATTTTTATAGGTAAAAGAATTATACATGATTTTGTTTCCATTTATTTTGCGCAAAATAAAATTTTCTATTAAATATTGTATTTTATTTATAGTTCAAATTTTCCTTCTTTATTTCGTTTTTAAATCTTGAAAGATAATTAAAAAAAACCCTAATTAGTCCATTTTAAAATCCGACACCCTTCGTTTGCGAAAAAACTTTTGTGAACAATCTTATAATTATACGCGGTAGGATTGCCTATTCAAATCACGACACCTCGAATATGTGTTTTGAGTGGTCCACTTAAAAAACATACTATTTTTTCTTTAAGGACATTATTAATTTGAGATGTAATAATTTGAATGGACGACTTTACCATAAGAGCGTATATAACCGTCCACCTAAAAAAGAGGAAAATAATAAAGATTCTGAGGGGCATTTTGGAATATCAGGTGACTCCTTCCTCATAAAACACGTACCTACAGCCGTTTCACCCATCCTTGTGTTGGTCTAGAATTTCAGTTCTAAAACCTCTTAATCTTCCTATTTTCTCCTTCGGCAAAACCAAAAAATCATTCTCTGCAGAAAAAAATCTCGCCTTCGCTGGTAAACGATCATCTTTTCGTATACATAGAGAGATATATCTGTCTATATATGCATGCATGGCTTCTCGATTATAAAGTTTTGATTTTTGCCCATTTTTTGTTATTAACTGTCTGAATTTTCTTATTTTTCAGAGTGCGGCATTCTCATGGAAGACCAAAACAATCAAAGCATTTTGACACAAGTGATGGCAGGGACGGCAGAGCAGGTGGCGGTTACGGCCATTGGCACGGAGGAATATTTAAACAATGGTGGCAATGGAGAACCGGGTGACTCGGCGGTGAGTGTTACAGGCGGTTCAGTAGTGGACTTACCGGTCAAAAGAAAAAGAGGAAGGCCCAAAAAGCAGCTACCGGAATTGAAGGAAGAAATATTGATTTCACCGGAGTTTTCTGCACCTCCAAAACGGGGTAGGGGCCGTCCTAAGGGTTCCGGCAAGTGGCAAACATTGGCGGCTTCTTTAGGTAATTTTTATTTAACTGATCAATTTAGTATAATTTTTTCCTTTGGGGACATGCTTGGACATAAATTTCTTGATTTGCTAATGTCAGTATTATTTTTATTAATTGGTTATAAATTGTACTTTGCAATGAAATTGGTAGTTTTTTTTATAATACCTTGTTACTTGTTATTGTCTAATTTGTTTCTTTACTTGGATTTCATTGTATTTATTTGATTATTTTTCATTTGTTTGTTTGTTGACATTGACCACCATAGGCAATGCTGATGATAATTTGCAACGATGATTTTGCATAAATCGTCTATAAGTGTCTTTTTAAGTATGCAGATAAGCGTTGAAAAATACCAATCTTGAGTATGGTAGGGGCACAGGGAATTCTCGATAAAGTGATGAACTATATTGGAAGAACTTCCATAAGTGTCTTTCTAAGTACGCACACAAGCGCGGTGAAAAACACCAATCTTGAGTACGGTAGGGACAAAGGAAATTTTCGATAAGAGTGATGAACTGCATTGGAAGAACTTCCGTGCATTTGTTGTGCAAAAGTGGCTTATTCATGAAGATTATTTGCAGTTATTATGACTTGGCTGCGGATAGCTGATTTTCGTGTTTTTTTTTTCAATTGCGTTATTATTTAGATGTTCGTTTCTAGGATTGACGTATATATTGGTTAATTGTTTACTTTTCGGGATAGATTTTCATAATTCTGTTTAACAGATTAATTCAAAAAATTATTGGGATTTTATAAAAATGATTACATATTACATGTCCCATCATTCTTGTAAAGTTTTAAGTCATATAAAAACGTTTGATTGCATATAAAGCACCTGTAAGTGACATTTTAAGTACGCCAACAATTGGGAAGATACCAATCTTGAGTAGGGCGGGGGCACACTGAGTTTTCAATAGTGGGGTGAACTTCATGGGAATTTTTTTGTGCTAAAGTGGTTTATTCATGAAGTTTATTGTTTCATACACTGATGGAGATTACAAATTTACAATGATGGTGAAAAGGAAATCAGCCCTGTTTTGAGTACATGAGACATCATTATTTTTTCGGTGCATATTATTTTCAATTTATTATCCTTCTAATACTCGAGAATGAAAATTGCGGATGACATTCTACCTTTCATTGAGCCAATGCTGTCTCTTAATTGCAAATACAATCCTTCTCCCACTTGCATCAACTTTATCTGTCAAAGGTTGTTTTATACCTTTTCTGCACAAAAAAAAAAAGGTTGAATTTTGTTAAACATTCTGAAATTTTTAGATTTAATGTGATCTCTTTGTCAAAGGAATTCTTGTTTCAACAAAATCTGAGGAAAAAACAGAACTTTTCCGAATAATTATCATCTTTGCCCAATTCTGTTTCTATGGATTTGTATGATCAATGAAGAAATTCAAATCGTAAACTTAGTTGAAGATGACTTTGTTTCAGTTAGTGTTTTACAGATATTTATGTCCCTAGACAGTCTAATTAACACGATGATAAAATACTTTTTAAGTCTAACACACAATTCACCTATACCATTATTTTTTGTGGATTATGGTGTTATAATGTGAAAATGTAAAAATATATTAACTGGACAACCAGAAACTCAAAAACAAAAAATCACATTAAACAGGCTTCAGATTATCATGCTTTCAATCCTGCACTTTCAAAGGTTGTTAATTAGGAGTTGTCATCTCACATTCTCAACTTTTTTTTTTTTTTATGAAGGAGGGGAAGCTGTAGACACTGCTGGAAGTGACTTCATTCCTCATGTGGTTACTATTCAAACAGGCGAGGTAAAGTTTCTCAGAACCAAGAGTTTATTACCATCCTCACTTGTGAAAGTATCTTTTTCATCCCTTTGGCGCATTTTTTCAATAGTAATTGTCATGAAGAAACGCCGTCTTTTGTTCTGCAGAATATCTCTCAACATATCTGGTCATTTTCTCAAAGGACTTCTGCATCAACTTTCATTATTTCAGCTTCTGGCACTGTCTCCAGTGCAGAAATTTGTCATTCTGGTTCTTTTGATGGCATCATAAGATATGAGGTATGATACTACATATACATTTAATTTTTCTATTTATCTTTTGACATTATGTTTCTGCAGTAGCCACACAGAAGCATCACAGATTTGAGTTTGCTTCATTCTCTAAGAAGGTTATCTCTTTTATTTCACTTGCCCCAGAGTTTTTTCCCCTTTTCATTTTATCTGCTATGTAATGTTTATTACAAATTCATCTGATGAGGACCCTCTAATTCCCATTATACATGAGGATATGATTTCCACAGACAAACCACAGTTTCTCTATTTTTGATAAGGTCAGTTTGGTGATTTATGCTAGCAACTACAATGTAGTCCTTTTATTAGTTTTATTGATGGGATTTTCAGTTCTATTAAAAGTTGGGTACTAGTTTTCTTTATTTTTAGGATATTCTGTTGAAACTCTTAAGCTTCTAAGCTTTTCTCTTGTTTACAAAATCTTTTCTGCTGCTGCACCAAATTGGTATTGGTTTACCTATGGGCAATAATATACTTTGGCATGATGGAGTGTTCCAGGTTCCAATACTTCAGCATAATAACATCCTTCTTTAGAAACATGACCCCCATTGTTGGATGAAGTAAGAAACAAGTGTTATCATGGACTCATCAAAGATCTAAGAAGGATATGTAAAGAAGCACATTGCTTTCAATATACAATGAGTTTATTAATCTTCAATCAACATTTCCAGTTTTGAATTGTGTTAAGATTTTTAGAAGTTGATGCAGCATCAACAATGTATGCAAGAGCACGATAGATTGAGCACTGAGAATATGGTGTTCAAATCATTAGCGAAAGCTTTAAACTTGAAAACCGAAAAAAACACCCTTTACAGCACAAGCATGTGTGGATTATAAAAGTGAACAGAGGATGGGGTATGCGAAATTCTGCTTTCTAATTAAAAGCACTAAAAATATGAGGTCATTTTTATGTGGTAAAAATGAATAATTGTCATGTACTTTTTCTGTGAACATGGTGCTATGATTTAGATGCCACTTACATAGGGAGAGATAACGTGTATATGTTTTGGTGGTATGATAAGAAATTGTTTTGTTGAAGCAATTTGAGAATCTTAGTGCAAACAAGGT